AATGAAGTTCGGGCAATCAAAACAAATATAAATGTACTTCTGAACACAGCAGGAAAACAAATTGTGTTTAAGAATGAATGGGTGCTAAATGCAAATTCAATACATAACAAATAACCATTAAAAAAGAAATACACTGAAATTGTTTGTTATATAGAGATTAAGATTGAATCACAAACAAATATACAAAGGAAGAGTGAATTGACTGAAAGGAATACCAAGAGAAACATGGCTAAACAGAGTTGATGAAATCTTCAAAAAGTGAGAGGCAGAAAGAGGCTGAGCCAAGAGTATGACCTGAATAATGACTATTTATTGGATTTACAGAAGAGATTTGCTGAAGCTTGGAAAAAAAACCTTTGAGATGAGGAAAAACTAAAGAGATCAAATCCTACATCTGAACAAATTAAAGCAAAAGGAAGGAGGACAAAATTGGATTGTTTGACTAATACATTTCTATAAAATTCTGGGAACCCTTATGGATTTTTTGCTGATACCAGGATTGAAATGTTAATGATTTGTGCAGTTTTGGGGTGGATTATAGAAAGAAGAGATACTTGCATGCAACGGTATAGTGGTAAATTATATTTCTTGTGATGAAGATTGGAAGTCACTTCTTTCAATTTTTGTTTTTATTTTTTCCTCTCTCTTTTCCTTTTCTCTTACTTTTCTTACTGAGGTCAGCATTATAACTGTCTTCCAAAAACTCAATAAATGGACATAGAGGAAGTGTAGATTGTTTCCAAGAAGAGAAAGGTATAGAGATATAACATAATGATAATGACGCACATTAAGTTTAGCTAAATTTCATTTTTATCTGCTGCCTCCAATTTATCTTGCTTGCTCGTTGCTAGTTATTTTTCCAACGCTTTGCATAAGGCTACTTATATCAAAAGAGGACTGCATGATGGATATGTACTTTCTTCTCAGCTCTTTCTTACGAAACAACCTTCTTTTTATCTGTTTGAACATCTGGAAGCTGAATCCCAACTTCTAAAATCTTGAAGCTGTGGAAAATTATTTCAAGTGTTTGCATTCTGACCAATAGGGAAAAAAAACAATTGTTCATGTATACAGAACACGCTACATTTATATTACCTCAGTAAAAATTCCAAGTGATTAGGCTGAAGTTATTAGAAAAGGTCAAAAAAGTATCCATAGCCTGAGTACTAGTGAATATGTGAACACTGTGAGCTGTACTTAGAGCATCCAAAATAAGACACAAGACACAGAGATTGTCACATAATAGTGCTAATGATGCAATTAGGTATTTGTGTTATGATTTGTGATGCTAATACATAAGTTTCATCATATATGCATCTACTCAGGGGTAGTCATCCTTGGCTCTTTTATGACTCGTGGACTTCAACTCCCAGAATTCCTGAGCCAGCAATTGAAGTCCACGAGTCATAAAAGAACCAAGGTTGACTACCCCTGATCTACATCAACATATCTACATTTACAGGTAGCCCTCAACATATGTACTTGAGTCTGTGGTTACAGTTGTACAGTTACATTTGTTAAATGGGTCACCATGTGATCAGACCCAATTTTACAGCATTTTTTGCAGCCATCATTAAGTGACCATTGCAGTTGTTAACTGAACACTATGATCATTAAGGGAATCCATTTTACCCAAGGGACATTTTTTTTGCTGGAAACCAGAAGTAAACACCTGAAACTGGCAAAAAAAGTCAAAACTGCAGTCACACGACCGCAGGATGCTACAAATGGCTATAAAGGTGAGTTAGTTGCCAAGTGCCCAAAATGCAATCACTTGAGAGTATGTGTGTCTGTCTGTTATAAGTTCAGAATCAGATTGTAAGTAGCTTTGCGGGGTCCATCCGTGATCAGTTGTAAGTTGAGGATTGCCTGTACATCTTTATGTCATGATCGAGTATCACCCATTCATCTGCCTCACAGATACCATAGAACTGAGACATATTAAATCCTGTTAATCTCACAAGTACCATGAATTTACTAAACAACCTTGGAGTGAACATCATGGAAACCAAAGGATCACTGTGTCTCCACATACCTTTTTCTGTACTGCAAAGTTCCATGATACGATGATATTTAAAATATTTTCAGGTTAAAAATATCTGGTTCAAAATCACGTATCTGCTTATATTCCTTAGAGGGGGAGGTATGGATCCTGCTATCTGGTAATAGGTAGTGAGATAATTAAAGGAGGATTAGCGATAGCCAATGAAGTGACAGGAAGAAGCAAAAAGTCCAGGGTTGAGATGCAGAAAACAATTGAGTGAGTGAATAGGAATAAAAAAAAGAGAATTTGGGTTTTAAAATGTGACCACAAACATGGGCAAGAAAATACTCCATGATTTTAAATAAGTAACTTTAGGTTTGGGGCCCCAGACTGTCTTGCTGCCAGATATTAAGTCTTCGGATCAAATGATTTGCCTTTCAGTCTCACTTGTTTGCATTTCATTTATATTTAGTGACCAGTTTGTCCCATTATAGCAGGGGTGTCAAACTCAATTTCATTGAGGGCCGCATCAGCATTGTGGTTGCCCTCAGGGGGGGGCAAGGGTGTGTGGCCATGGTGGGTGCAGCCTACTGGGTGGGCGTGGGTGGGTGTGGCCTACTGGGTGGGCATGGCCAGCTTTACATCGTTCGCGTCAAGGGGGCCTGTGGGGGCCTGGGCAGGAGTGGGACAGATCTGAGGGTCTCTGGCAGAAGGGGGTGGGACTGAGGCAAGCGCCAAGGCATGGTCCATTTCTTCATTCCTCACAAAGGGTGACACCTCCCCAGCATGCACCCAGGGGGCGGGGCCGACACAGCAGAGGCTGGTTCCTCGCTGTTTCCAGACAGCCTTGTGGAGCTAAGACTGAATGCGTTTCAGCATAGATGGCCACCACAAAATTGTACATTGGCTCCCAGCCGGCCTGGGCCAGGGCCAAGGCAGCAGGGGCCGTTCCCTCACTGTTTCCAGGATGGCTTCGTGGGCCACATGAAACCACATCGCGGACCGCATCCACCCCCCGGGCCTTGAGTTTGACATGTCTGCATTATAGAAACCATTTTGTGAATGGGCAGCCAGGATAACATAGACTTTTTCAAAAGTACAAGTGTGTTGGCCCACCAAATATATTTGCTTTCAGCAAAACAAATTACTATTTAGAATTTTCCCTCTCTTCTAATCTGCACTGATTAATAGTTGAAAAAAAATTAAAATTAATTAAAATTAAAGCTATGTACATATTCTGATACATCTTTAAATGTATAAACAATGCCAAATGACTATTTGAATGGATCTCTCTCATTTGTGGTTACAGGAGCTGTTATAGCTGTAGAAAATAACTGTGTGTGAAAACAGCTTTCTTATTTACTCAAATTTAACAGACAAGGCACAGGTTTGGTGGACTCACCCATGACTGAACTTTTTCAAAGATAAAGATAAAGCAACCATTACATATTTTTTTCAAAAAAGCAATTTTAATGTACAAGTAAACATTATCTTTTCCATCTCAAACTCTTTTTTAAGCAAGGTAACATCTTCAGCAAAAAAAAAAACTTTTTGCTGTTTCATTGTTACCTAATAACACAGGGAGTACACAATGATACCAATTTTAGCCGATTAAAAGTGCATTTCAAGACATTTGTCATCTTTTAAAAATGGAGACAGAGATAATTTACTCATAAAGAAATGAACAACTATAATGTTTTTTGACTCATTTGTTTCTCGTTGCTGTGTTTATCTAGTTTTAGGTATCGTGTGGAGAAAAAGAGTCCACAAACTTTTTCTCCACACGATACTGTATAAGAGCAAAAGGGGGAAAGGGAAAAATCAGTTATAATTATTGGATGTAATTGTTCATGTACCGTACATACATTATAAATTATGTGGAAGAGTTAGTCTCCTACCACTCTCACTGTCAAAGCTTTTACGGTGATCAACAACTTAAATCATGGCACCATTTTTCTATAGTTAATGCATTTTCCTTCTATGTGAATAGTTTTCCTTCTTTCTTAAACAAGCAGCTCCAAATTTCTTCTTAGAATTACTAAGGATTGGAAACTGCCAAGAAATGGATTAGAATTGGAAACTATCAATAAATTCCATGGCTGTAAATCATTCTATAAATATCCTGTAAAATATCTTAGGAGAAAGCAGTAACAACCATTTCTGCTTTGCTGCCAAGAAGAATAAATATATGTAAATGTAGTCACCAGAAATTGAATTCAGCTCAGGGAAATCTTTACCTATAATCATGGTATAAGCTGCATCATGGATGTATTCCACAATCCTCACATTTCTAGCAAGTAATTCTTTTTGAAAAGATTGGTATCACCAGCATATTCATGTTCTTCAGAGAGCACAAATAAAGCAGATAACCCTTTCTTTCAAGAAAGAACAGAGAACAGTCTTTTTCAGAAAATGGTATTACTATGAGGATTTATAAACAAGTAGTTTAAAAACAAAAAGCTCCTTGCAATAATTTCTGTGCCAAACCAATAGAAGAACAGCAAACACCTACAACTTGCAGAATTGTGGGGTTCCTTCAGAAAATGGGGGTACATAAAAACAAATCATGAGCAGAGAATTGAGTGAACCGTAAAACTCTTTTCACTGATCTAGACATGAATATGGCTGTGTCCACGTCCTCTGCTGTCAGCTAATATTGTGTCTGGCAGACATAAGAGGACTTAAGAGACACTCAGGAGCAAAGCTATTCTCACTACTCTCTTTATACTCAAAAGCCAGTGCAGTAGATGGCTGAATATTCCCATTTTACGTAGTATAGATTGATTCTGAGAATCTGCTCATATCAATGAGCTGAGTATCAACAGTTTCAATAAGCTAGCTTTCCCATCAACTATTTTTCACCGTAATTTTTATTAAAAGAAAAATGTACACACGCTTAAAAAAAACTATAGAAAAGTAAAAGAACAAAGGAAATATAAAAGACTCAAGAAAAATAAAAAATTGAAATGTAACAAAAGAGAAAGAAGTATCTAAAGAAGCAATTTACAATCTTCTTTGCAGCAGTTACAGACAGTAACTTCACTCTCCACCCTCCCAAATTACATATTATGGTTCCCCTCTTCCCATAAAACCCCCTTTTTAAACTTTCCCATCAACCACAGGCTTTACACATTCCACATTCTGAAGAAAACATGAGACTGAAAAACTGAGGGTAAAAGAAGCATTGTCTTATGTCACTATGATCTCTCTAAGTCAAGAATGGCAAGTGGATACAAATTAAAAATGGCAAATTCAGAATCAAAACATTTGTCTAAAAATATTTTAATATAACAAGTTTCCCAAGAAACAAATATGACATATGACACTCAATGCATAAACGCTTGCCATGTTAAGTCTTATATGGAAAACAGTCACAAAAAATGGCAAATAATTTGATTTACAGGAGCACCACAGCCAAGACCATGCTGCTTTTATTGAAGGCATGGCTTTAGAGGGCCACTCATTAAGTCAACATATATTGAAGAAAAATGTTTACAGAGTAACTTAAGTTTTCTTGTGTTCTTTCATACACGCTTACAAAGATATATCCCTTGGAGGATAGAAAAACAAATTATTTCAGCATTAGATGCCAAAACATACAGAAATCTTAATACTAATTTATTTACAACATAATATATTTTTCTTTCTTTTCTTTTCTTTTACATATATATAAAAAAACAGGCTTCCTCTTCAGGCAAGATGCTACATAGAGCTAAAATATGTAAAACCATGTTTAGAATATTGACCGAAGCAATATTCTTGAGAAGAAGAGTGCCACAAATAAAACCTTATCTGGAAACAAAAGCTGAATGTTCTGAATATTATTTACAAACCATAAACTAGTAGAGCAGCCTTCCTCTACTTTGGCATCCTCCAGATATGTGGACTTCAATACCCAGAATTTTCAGTAATGACTATACTGGCTGGGAAATTCTTGAACTTGAAGCCTGCAAAACTGTAAACCCAAGTAGTCAGGAAAGACTGTCGTAAAAGATAAAACCAGTGCATCAAATTCACATCCATTGGACATCCTCTTTTCATTCTCACTGTATTCTGTAAAGTTAATGCTGGAAATTATAGGGGTCAAACTGGAATCAGGAACAGAACCAGAGACCAGCCGAAGATGAAATATCCCGGTACGTAATTTCGTCTATAGTTATGGAAAGAGAAATAAATGTTGTGAAACAACCATACTTATACACGTCCTTCATGACTGGGCACTTCTTAAGGATAAATTCAATAGGGAATAAAAGTGGAGGGTTTAACAGGCAATTACTGCCATGACCCTAGATATAAATTTGTCCAAACTTTTAATCTGTAACTCTTGAACAACAGCAAAAATCTTTCACATTGCCTTTTTTAGTTTTCTTAAGATTTGTTCAAACTTCCTACTTAAAAAAAAAAAAAGACAACGTTGTTGGGTTTGAATGCCTAGCATTGGTTATTATCGATTATTATTATACTGTAGCCTCCTACATAAGTTTCAGAATTCCTGCACTACCCAAAAATAATATAATCTAAAAGCAATTTTGTAGAGGCACAGTGCAGTAGTGATGGATCCTCATTAACTAGTGTGAACAACTCTTCTAAATAAGGGATAGGATGATTTGGCGCTTGGGTTATATTACCCTTCTCCTGCTTGATATTCTCCAGTTATGTTGGACTAAAGTATTGAGAATTCCCAGCTAATGTAGCCAGTAACACAATTCACCTGAAGGTCAGCAGGTTGGGGAACAGTGGCTTATACTAACTTTATGGAAACACAATTATAATTAAGTGTATGGCCTACTTTTTTGACTTAATTGAAATTGAAACCAAGAGTTTCTCTCACAAACTTTCTCCTGAAATTCTATTTACATATTCTTCAGATCATCTTGTTTATAACAAAGTGTTTGAAAATCTGAAGGATTCTGTAATTTCTGACTAGTTCCATCAATGCAAGAACATTTAAATTAATTTGGTAAATTGGAGAGGTTTACATTTACATATCAAAAGAAAAGAAGGACTGTCTATGTAAACTTAGAAATAGTTGTTTTCTAGATATATTTTCTTTAAAGGAATGCCTTATTTTCAACAAATTAAGGAGTAAAACTTTGATTAAATCAAAATATATATTTCTTTTTGATTCATTTAACATTCTCTTCTCCAAACTGCATACTTTTTAAAAAGTATATTTGTTCTTTCATATGATACTTTTACATTACAGAAAGACTTATCCTGGAATCTTACCAAATGAAAGGCTAGAATTGTTCTTTGTGGATCAGACAAGCTAAGATAAGCCACTGCTCATGCTGGAAAGTCATGTATCACATTATCTTTTTCATGAATGCGGTAAACTTCCATCTCTTGTTCATCAAAATGTACAATGTTCCACATTAAAGACTTACTCCAACTGGGGTTTCCCCAGCACTAATACTTCAGCAGAGCCTGATTTCATTACCTCACTGTGGCAAACTCATCCTTATTTCCCTTTTATTCCGAAGATAAGTCTAATTATGGTATATAAAATTACATTTTGTGGAGGAGCTGGAGAACCACCTCCCTTTTATGTGTGTGCTGCTTCATCACAGAGAGCCAAGGAACAAATACATAAACAAGCCCCCCAGCATCTTGTGATTAGCCTTTAGTTCAAGACCAAAGACAGAAAGCAGGGATCCAGAGTTATCCCTTCTGAGGTACATATTGCCATTATACCCATAATGCAGTGCAAAGTGCTGCTGCAGATTAAAATTTTATGTTCAAGCTTTAACAGTTGAAATTAAAAAAGAGTATGTACAAATCAAACATGCAGTTCTCTCCAGTTGCCTTCTGAAATGGTACAAGCCACACGTGTAACATTGATTTCAAGTAGCTTGTTATTCAGAGGTAAGCACCATTTCAGTCATATTTGAAAATCTATTATACCACCCCAATATCATTCAGAGAACTGATTGATTAAAATCAGTACCAACATTTCTCTGTATTGCCACTAGGCAGCACAGAGGGTATGAGCATACAACCTGGTTCGCAATCTCTTGCTTAAACCTTCATCCATTATATACTAGCATTTCAATTCTGACTAGAAATCACATGTTGAAAAGCATTTGTTCTAATTCTTTACAATCATTACCAAAGCCAACAACATAATACAATAAACATTTGATTTGCCAACAGTGTGGAAGGGACTGGGTTAAAACACAGCTTAATGTTTATTTTCCTAAATGTAATCAAAGAAGGTAAGAAAAATCTGGCAACTTTGCACCATGTTTAATCAAATCACAGTTTTAAGAAACATTTTGTGGCCTGTACTACTGAGGGGCTAAGCAGATGAATTGTCTGGAATGTGAAGAGTCAGTCCTATGACTGGCCTTCAGAGACAAACCATTTTTTTTCCAGATGGAAATACTGTTAAATGATCACAATTTACCGAGCAAACATTCTGAATAAAATCTAACGGGCAACAGATTTCTAACAGCAATATTCACATATCGGAAAGTGCAAAAAAAAAAAAAATAATCAAAACCCCCAAACAAAACAAAAACACCACTCTAAATCTTCTCAGAGGAAGTTGCTATTTTTGATAATCAACTTTTAGCATTTAGTGATCTTTTAGAAACCAAGCCTCAAAAAGAATACAGTCCTCACAAGAAATCATCTAGGAAAAAAAATACCCTCACCCCTTTTCAAGATTGATCACATTGTTCCGAGCTAGCCCAAATAGCAGCAAACAGACATTTTATTACATGGCAAGAAATAAGTCCAAACACCTTCTTCTAGGTATAGTTGCATCAGAGAACCTGAGTATCAGAACAACCTGGCTGAGTCTCAGGCTACCCTCCCTTCCAATGCCGTTCCAGAGTCCACTCCAATTGGTCAGCTTTCTAGCACAGTTCCTATCTGCACCCTCTTGAGCTTGCACACGATGCTGAACCATCTGAAAAAGTCAAGAAAAAAGAATGAAAACATCACTTGCGTTAAATCCCTCTCACTGTTATTCACAGTTCTTAAAAACTGCCCCTCCCCTTCATTTTTACTAAGCCTACAGTCTTCGACTTACAATAGTTCATTTAGTGCAGTGGTTCTCAACCTTTTTAATGCCGCGACCCCAACCGGTCGTAAGTCGAGGACTACCCAACCGGTCGTAAGTCGAGGACTTTCCCTGCCCGGGAGCGCCACGCATGCGTGGTTCCGCCCCCTGCTCCGGCTGAGGCGTAGCTGGCAAGCGGCAGAGACGGAACAGGCCGACCACCAGCTGGCCCAGCCCAAGGCACCCGCCGGAAAAGGGGAAAAAATGGCGGACAAAAAAAATGGCGGACAGCCTTGCTTGGCGACCCCCGTGAAATGGTTGATCGACCCCAAATGGGGTCCCGACCCACAGGTTGAGAACCACTGATTTAATGACTGTTACAATGGCACTGAAAAAAAGTGACTTATGATCGTTTTTCATAATTATGACCTTTGCAGCATCCCCATAATCATGTGATCAAGCTTCAGATGATTGGCAACCAACACATATTTATGACAGTTGCAGGGTCCCGGGGTCATGTGATCCCCTTTTGTGACCTGCTGACAAGCAAAGTAAAGGTGGAAACCAGATTCTCTTAACACTCGGTTTACTAACTTATCAACTGCAGTGATTCACTTAACAACTGAAAGGTCGTAAGATGGGGCAAAACTCACTTAACAAATATCTCACCTAACAACAGAAATTTTGCGCTCCATTGTGGTCGTAAGTCAAGGACTGCCTGTACCAGTGGCCCAAGAAACAGAACCTCAGAAGTGGTATATAATTATCCAGTGTACCACAAATCTCTTGCCAGATAGCCACAACGCTGGGCTGAATTTGTAAGGAAGCTAAGCATGGCTGGTTCAGATTTGGGTACGGAGAACCACCAAAGACCTCCTGTGCTATAAGTTAGATTGAAAAGGGAAGGCACTGGCAAATCATTTTTGTATTTTTGTCAAAAACCAACACCAAAACCCAAGGACCCCACCCTACATAAAAGGGTCCAGAAAGTACCAAGAAGTTCAATTCAAATTAAAGGAAAATTTACAGTGAGCATCCACACTGCAACAGATATCAGAACAGTTTGATGTATCAGAGGGAACTTTGACCCTGCCACTAATAGACCACCCATTCATTATTGTTGCATTTCAGATATATGTGATCTTCATAACGAGAATTTTTAGTCATTGAATAGTAAACATATTGAGAATACATGGAATAGGTTTTTAATTCTTTCAATAATATACTATCATGTGCTTAGACAACACAGTTTTTCAAACTGTATTCTGTGCATCTGTAGGGACCTTGAGGGGCTTCCTTAAAAAGTGTTGGGGGGACTTTGAAGAAATCTGAACATTCTCTCTGTGAAAAAGGTTCACATGTATTACTATATAATATCCATTATTAACGAGACTAGCAGTTTAAGTTACTTACTATACGTTAATTCTTCCCCAGCTCGCTTACGTGATTGGTCACCTCTAAAAAAAAGGAAGCCAGACAATTTTTTTTCACTGTTCTTATTTATTTGTTTCATTCAATTTTGCCCTACCTTTTAAATATCTAGGTCATTCAAGATGAATAACAAGCAACATAAAAATAAGAAATAATATTTAAACCCAGAAAAAAGCAGCCAAAATGCTGCTCAGTTCAAATAATCAGTTCTTGCTGAAGTGGAAATAAAATAACAATGCCTAAGGAAGCGCGTGTGTGCAATAGTTTAGCAGTAATATAGAAGAAAACCCACTACTATGTGCCCCAAAGACCCCAAAACTAGAGCTTTTCTTGAGAGGATTTCTCTTGCCAAAACTAATGCCAGGTTTAGAAACATAGCCCTTTAGGATTTTAAAGTTTAAAAAGACTATATGAATTATGGTTAGAAAGCAAATGATAACTAATGTAGATATTTTAACATATGCATAATATGAACCTATTATCATGTGCTAAATAACAGTCTACTTGCCATTTCCAATACCCTAATAAACAGAACATGTCAGCCTAGACTTCAAAATTAACCCAATCAAGTCTTTGTTTTTAACAATGTCCATAGATAATGCAGACATTTTAAATAAATGCAGCTAAAGTCAGAGAATCCTGCTGAAGTGCAAGTCTTTTCCTTAATATTTAGGCCTGATAGTGAGTGACAAATTGATAATTTGAGTGACAAATTATATTTTATTTATAAGAGACAATAGCTGAAGTAAGAAACCACAAGTGAACGTCTTCGTATAGCTGTAACAACCGGATAACCCATGCCCTGTTGGGTAACCATTTCAGAGATATTTCCTTACCCTAAACCAGGGGTATCAAATAGCAAAACCGCACCCACCCCATTGCCGTCAATGGCAAAAAAGTCGCGATATGTCATGACACGTCACGTGACATTGCGAGTTTGACACCCCTGCCCTAAACAGAGAAACAGAATGATCATGGGCAGGAGAAAAGCAGCATGAACAGGAGCAATTTCCAACTTCTTGCCGGCTTCCCCATTGAGTGTCTACAGGAATCTTACAAGGAGCATAAGAAATCTCCCCTCCCTTTGTTTTCCTTTCCCTTCCCTTCCCCTTTCCAGCAATCAGGGAAATTGCTGCTGCTGGGTTAGGTATGGAACAAAGGATTGTGAGACTGGCTGGGAAACTGTCACGGAATGTTGAAAATGAATCCACATGACTGCAGCAGCAGCTCAGCAGTGCAGCAGTAGCATTGAAGCAGCAACAACCTCCCCAAAGTTCATTCTGTTGGGATTCATGGGTCCTGGATTTTGGACATCTTTTGTAAGTTAGTTCATCTGAAGAACCTTGGTGTGAAAATTGTTGCTCTATGATGCACCATTTTACCCACATAAAGGTCATGATGAGAGTTTTAGTAGTATATAGATTTGTAGCATAAGAAGCTATAACATAATTTATTCATTTCATATACTATCAGTGCAGTCTAGCTTTCTTACGTGAACTGTTCTACAGAAGAAAAAGTTTAAGCATATAGTCTTTGCAGTTGCTATTAGGTGGGGGTGTGGAAGCAGGTATGTTAAATGCACACATCTGAATGTAATTGAATACATCTTTTTACTAGCAAACAAGAGCATTCACTACAGTATTACTGAAGGTCTGGAAGGGATTCAAGTACACAATTTAAGGAAGATTATGGATGCCTTATAACACCCTTCAGTATTTCAACTGAGTGCATTGAGACTACTTCTACTGCCTCTTTCTTTCCCCAACTTCTGAGCATTCAGAGTTGGAAAGAAGAAATACACATGACACCATGCTTTTGTGTACAGCTAGACCTTTCAAGGAGAACGGATGATGTGGACCTGCATTTTCTACACTAGGTGTCCTCCTTCCACAAAAGTTAATTCATTGAATTTTTAAAGGTTTATCAAGAAGCAGACCCAAAGTACCACTGAAAAATGTTTTACCTAAGTGACATTTTCTAAGGCCTTCAAATGGTATGTTACGCTAGTTTATTTATTTATTGAATTTATACAGTCACCCATCTTACTTGTATGTAACTTTGGGCAGAGAACATAATTAAAATAAAAGTTAAACGTTCAATACAATATAGCCATTAAAATAGTTAAAAGCAACTAAAAACCATGTGATACCCAAATTTATCTGCACAATTTACAGATCACCAAATAAAGATGTTGGAAAAGTTGGCCTTATTACCTGGAAAATCCCTCTTGAATAAGTTCTTGTTGAAGTTTCTGGTCCTGAGAAGCATATTCCTCAAGCTCAGATTCTACAGCAGGAGGAAGGATGTTTGGAATAAATTTAGAAAATAAAGCTGGTGCCATCTGAACCCATTCTGTGTAGAAATGGAAAACAATAGCTAATGAGAAAAAAAAATTACTTAAGGGATTTAACAGGAGTTAAGTTCAAATTCTTTCTTATGACACAATTTTAAACAGAAAAATCAAATCTAAGGTGCTGTGTACTAAATGAGAATGCTTTTAAAAATCATCTTTAATAAAGGTTTTAGATTACTCAATCTGTCTTTTTGAGAACAAGACAACAGTTGTATGGCCAAATTGATGGAACAAATATATCAAATACATTATAAATATCACAAATTGCTCCAGAATTTATTAATACTTGTATGGTGAAGTATCTTATCTTGATATGGTTCTAATGTAGGATTTGTTTCTTATATGTGTATCTGATCTCTTCAAGGAATTTATTACATATAGCTTTTGACAAGATCATTTGATAAAAATGAACAAGTACTCAAAAAGATAATTTACCTGGCCTAAGCATGTATAATCCTTTGACAATGTTTGCCATTGTGGAAGGGTTTATCCAAAAAGGTGTGGACTGAGCTTCTAGAAGTAAAGCTGAAAGGAGAAAATACACTCAATTGCAAATTAATTTTACTTCAGATATTGATTTTTGTAACACAAATGTATGCAATGCACTGTTATTCCAGTCTACCAGTTGAATCTATTCTACTTAAATCTTAAAGGAGGAGTTTTTATCAGAAATTAAAGCACTGGGGAAAGCAAGTTTTTAAAATGGCAAGAAAAATCCAGAAAGATTTCATGCAAAAGTCAAATCATGTGCAAGTTATTCCTTTTCTTTTCAATTGTTTTTAATATGAATGCAGAATTCATGTCTCCTGATGACATCTTAATAATTATATATGCAAACCAATTAAAAAGTTTAAATCACTTTTTTCATTTTCGATTTAAGTATAGATAGCTCTCTACTTATGACCGGTCATTTTAACAACTGTCCCAAAATTTAATGGCCTAGGAAAGAGTGCTTAATGGCCTGCTAAGCACTTCTAGCCATCATTAATGTCCACACTCTATGTCATCTGACACATTTCATCTACTTGCCAAGTGTCCCACAAGCATGTGATTGCCATTTGCAATCTTCTCAGCCTGCTTACCCAGAAAGTCAAGAGGGAAGTTAGCAAGAAAGGTTGCAAATATAGGAGAAATGAAATCTTGAAGATTTCAGCTCCACTCCTACAGCCCTACAAGCGATTTCCCTTCTGTGCATTGAGGGGAGCTGAAATCCTTTGGTGAGCTACAGGAATGTTTGAGACTGATAGGGTAAAATTCTTCGGTAGGCAGCTCTTTTGCACCATTGCATAATGGCTTGGGAGATAGCATAACAACTGCAACTGGAAGTCCCGGGATTGTGCTTGTTGAGCAAAAGAGTCATGTAGGCATCTCACTTAATGAGTGCTTTGCTTAACAGTTGAGATTCTAGTCCTATGGTTGTTAAGTGAGGACTATCTATAAATAGGATGAGAAAACTCAGCAAGGAATTTCCTCTTTATAATTTTCCTTTTGTCAGACCCTAAGACAGACATGTCAAACTCACAACGTCACGTGATGTTGCGCGACGTATCGGAGCTTTTTCGCCATTGCCGGCAATGGGGTGGGCGCAGCTCCGGTATGATGAAACTGGCCCGCGGGCCGGCAGTTTGACACCCCTGCCCTAAGACAATCTTTTTAGCATAATTGTATTTTCATGCAACTGAGCAGCTAAAATCAAATTTATGATAAAAATAATCCTCTAGGCATTTTATCAAATATCAAACAGCAACTGTAGTTCATTTTCTTCTCTATCCATGAGAGAATTTATTTGTTAAGTGATTAAATATGAGCAAACTAATCTCTGTAAAAGTGGATTCCATTACATGAGTATAAACTTTCTTTTTTCTTTTTCCTCCTAGCATTTTTCCCACAAGTGAATGGTCTGCTTTTTTTTAATCAACCAAGTGCTGATCCATTGGTTGCAACAGAATTAACCTATTGACTTGATACTCAAGCCTGATGTCATAACTAAGAAAGAGTTATTGGTTCATGATCACCCAATCAGGTTTCATGTCTAAGGTGGGACCGGAACTCAATTTCCTGATTTCTAGCCTGGTGCTTAACCACTAGACTAAAATGGCTCTCTACTATGTGAGGATAACCTGATGTGATAAAATCAGTTATATTTCTTATAAATAAGTTGTTAAATAGACATCTCATTTACAGGTGCTCCAAAGGAGAAAATCCATGAAGAAAAGGCTGCATATATTTCTCGTATACATTTCTCTCTGAATTTTTATTTATATTATGCATCTTATTTCAACAGAGATATTTGGTTTTATACATATTATAAGTCAACAACTTAATAGATAATGATAAAAATTTTAAGAAGCATTAACACTTCAGTTTGAAAACCCAAATGTTAAAAAGTAAATTGAAACTGAAATTCTGCTTCAGCCCCTACTATCAGTTGCTTGTAAAGAGATATGATGGTAGAGTCAGTAGCAGCTAATGCTGGCCTACCGATATTTTTCAGAATAAAAATTATATGAACCATAAATTATTTGCTAGTAGTTTCATATATTAAAAGTGCTTCATTTCCCCCAAAGTTATTTTAAATATACCAAATAATTATTTTGTCAGTTTGAAGTCAGTTGGCTAAATATATTAAAAAAATCAACCAAGTATATTAAACTCACACCAGAAGAATGATTTCACTGTATTTTTTAAAATGTGCATGACAAACAAAGGAAGAACTGTTGAAGGTCAGCTGAGAATACAAAACAACAATTCATAGATTCTCAGCTTTCCGCAATCCTTTGCTTTTATCCTTTACAAGCGTGCGTAGGCAACAATGAAGTGGATGCTTAAAAAGTCATTTCAATAGCTTCACCTTTAAGACTCCAGGAATAAAGACAAGAGACTCTTAACATACAATATGAAGTTCTATTGAACTATTGTGACTAATAAATTCATGCATTAGATAAATTCCCAGTTACTACGATGTGGGCAGGTACAAACAAAACATCTTGCAATGATAAATTTCACAACTTAAGAATTTGTTAACTAAGCGATTAAGGCTTCTTACTCTAAGAGAAATAAAAATTAGAAGTTCAATTAAACCACAAAAAGTTAAAGTTAAATTATAGCCTCCACCAACACTGGCAGGGCAAGCTTCTGTATATAATCTAGCACTGATTATGCTACCTAGTATGTAATGAAACTCTACAAGCAAGCACCCACTTTAGAAAGCATCAAGGACGCTATAAGAAAAGTACTGTAATCCTGACTTCTTTAAATAATTCTTTTCTTTTACCATTACTCAGAACAAGTGGCACAGAACAAGATAATAAAGATTGTGTCAGGAATTTAAACTGCCCCTTGTGCCTCAGTTTATTTCTTAAAATGAGTATGTTTACAAAAAAAGCCATACCACATTATGTCTTAGTACCATATGCAAATGAGGTATATAATTAAACTAAAATTCTGTTAGCCTTTCTTCATAGAGAAGATTCTATTTCTGTCACTACTATTTTAAATAACTCCATCATAACAAATTGGAGTATATGGAATTGATTTTTCATTTTTAACAACTACCTCCTCACCCTAAATGTTATAAAATTACTGCCAAGTGAGTACTGCTTATGTCATCAGCATGTCTGTAATGTTAAAATAACACTGATAATGATTTAGATAAGTATTACTTATATATAGAAGACGCAGCCATAAACTGTGAAAACAGTAACCTGCTGCTAAAATGGCAATGCAAATAGTTTATTCAGCTGCAAGTTTAAAGTTGGGAGAGCAGTTTAGCATATAGAAAGATTTCCTTTTTTTTAGTAACTGTGTAAAACAATGTTGCTTCCTTGAATATAAATCCACACAATGAACTCTTCTATTTAGCTAGCTTAATAATTAAAATTATCTTCATGTGAATAATGAGAAGGGCTACTATTATACTGCTGCATAATTGGGCTGTGAAAATAACCTTGAAAGACAGGAGGGAGAGCTGCAGTCTAGACCAGGGCTTTTCAACCAGTGGTACGGGTACCACCTGTGGTACATTGGCACCTGGCAGGTGGTACGCGACCATCCTAGAAAAGTGGTAGCGGGGGAAGGAAATGAGCTGAACCGGTGGCAGCACCGCACAAGCCTGAGCGAGAGATGGCTGGAGCTGCAGGGCTGTCAGGGCTCAGTGGAAGCGCCAGGATCAGCGCCAGGCTCCAGCTGGAGCTCGGCGCTGATCCTGGCGCTTCTGCTGAGCCCAGAAGAAGTGCCGATCAGCTGGAATGTTGCAGCATCTCCCGGGTCTTGTGATTTACTTTCAGATGCTTGGCAACTGATTCATATTTATGACAGTCACAATGTCCCAGGGTCATGTGAAGTGACCAAAACCTGCTGCAACCACCCAGCAGACGGGGGGGGGGATAAAAACCAAACATCCCCACCCCACCCCCGCTGCCAATCCTCAACAGAAATGCTCACAACAATGAAAACCTCGGACAGGAGGAAGAGCGCCGCCGGGCGGGCAGGGAGGTGTCTTGCTTGGCTGTGGCTTGGGTACTTTTTTCAGTGCCATTGTAACTTCGAACAGTCACTAAGCGAACTGTTGTAAGTCGAGGACTACCTGTACTTTATCACTTTATCTCTTTTTTTTGGTCATCAAGTTTTTGACACCTTGCTAGGTGACTGGTGGTACTTGGATGTTGCCATATCCTAAAAGTGGTGCAATGGGTGAAAAGGTTGAAAAGCTCTGGTCTAGACAACAGTTTGATGAAAGAAGTCTGAGTCCAAAGCAGGAATGGGGATAGTGTTTCATAAGTGACTCTCCCTAATTCTCTGAAAGGTAAAAGTGGAGGAAGGAGGAAGAAGTTTCAGACTTGCAAGTTTCTGTTATACATTTATGAAAAAAGGTAATATTAATACTCTTGGTTTTGGTTCCTGGTCTGGACTACGTTAAAGGCTTAAAACAATCTTATCGGACTGAAAGCTTTTAAGAAGAAAAACCACCATGAAAATGGAATTTCCACAATGAGGCCCAATTGCAAGATAAACTCATTCAGCAAAGGCTAAGTTTGGCACACGCGTTTTCTTATTTTGTTGCTCTATAGATCTCCTGGTGGAAATGGTGGCAGTCTAATCAATGTCAATATTGATATCTGAAGAAATTGACAGCACTTATAGCAAAAGCAAAGATAATTAAAGACAGCTGGACTGTAATGTAACATACTACCAAAGAAATATATATTACAAGTAGTCCCCGACTTACAACCATTTATTTAGTGACTATTTGAAGTTACAATGGCACTGAAAAAAGTGACTTATGACCGTTTTTCACACTTATGACCATTGCTATATCCTCACAGTCACAGATCAAAATTTGAACGTTTGGCAAATGACATGTATTTATGACTTTTACAGGGTCTCAAGGTCATGTGATCACCTTCTGACAAGCAAAGTCAATGGGGCTAAATTGTGGTCATAAGGCGAGGACTACCTGTATACCCTCTGGCTCAGGAAATTCTTGCGTTTAATTAAACAAGTACTCAATTACATTGCAATTTTCCCCAACAACCAATAGCTATAATTGGCATTTTAATCCTGTTTTGAATTAAATTCTTGACAGGCTATTTAGTGTTAAGATACTTTCCATTTTTATCATTTTCCGACTAATGATTCAGCAATTTATTGCTATATTAAAAAATGAATCATCTCAAACTTTAGACTTACGCATCAGGCTGTAAATGTGCTTTTCTGCAACATGTTCCGTAAACAGTTTTATAAGATCATTTCTTAAATCTCGGTTAAGCTTGGTTTCTATGTAAAATTTATTCTGAGGAAAAAAAATAACATCCTTTTAAATGACAGCAATATAAAAGTACTGTTACAGACTACTTCTGCTTTGCACTTCTCATAATCCAAATCATTTGTTTGTGAACAAAAAACAAATAATACAGTGAGTCTAGTTAGAAAGAAAAAAAGTTAAAAGCAAATTCTAAATTCATTTGATATGCCAGCTTGACCTTTACAATTATGATCTTCATCAATGCTACAGAGGGAATAAAGCTCAAAAATATTGTGATACGAAGTAGTAGGACTGGAAGCCATACACTGAGTGTGGATGCATTCAATACTGAACTTAAAGAGACCCAGTATGTCCATCAAATGCACAGTGTATAAGCATTAAACAGGAAGAAATATAAGTCTTAATGCAGGAACAGAAACATGTTTAAGTAGACCTTAATTGGTAGAACAAATGTATGAGTAAAATGAATGGCCCATCCTATATTATAGAGTAGTGAGGTAAATGAATCCAGCCATTTTCTCTCAATATGAATGTTACACTGGATCCTAACTTCATTATCAACTCTTCAAATCAATTCATCATTGTGTAAAAGACAGAAGCCTGAATAGTCAAGAACCTGAGTAGTATTTATTTATTTATTGTTTATTTATTGTTTATATTTATATCCCGCCCTTCTCCTTGCGGACTCAGGATTGTACTACTACTTTCTGAAGAGACTGACAAATCAGGATTATTTCTTTGGTTGTAGAACCCCTCCTGCTCAAACCTCTTCTTGAAAACCTCCAGTGAAGGAGCACCAACAACTTCTGGAGGCAAGCAGTTCCACTGATTAATTGCTCTTACTGTCAGGAAATGTCTCCTTAATTCTAAGTTGGATCTTTCTTTAATAATCTTCCACCTATTACTTCTTGTCCTGCCCTCAAGTGCTTTGGAGAATAGGTCGACCCCCTCTTCTCTGTGACAGCCCCTCAAGTATTGGAAGGTATCGTACACCCCTTAGTCCTTTTTTTTTTGTTAGACTAATAAGTTCCTGCAACTTCACAAATCTGCTGCTTATCTTTTTTAAAACCTTTATTATCTTCTATTGTATTAAGGTCCTAAGTTTAAAGTTCCCAATAATTTATAACAATTAACATTGTTAGAAATGTTACTTTAAGTGATTGAAGCATATAAGGTAAGCCACACAATTCAGAAGCAACCTTTTCTTTCTACCTATTTTGTTTTTCCTTAGCACAGGAATTGCACATGGTGTGAAGCAATTTTTAATGCCAATCTAAGAACAAGCATAGAAGGCAGTCAGTTCTTTCTCAAGACTTATCTCCTGATGATCTATAGAACTGCTGTTTCTTAATATCATACTTTTCTCCTCTACAAGTGAGCATGCAGCTCAACAGATGTCAAGAGACAAGGAGCACCCCAGCTTCTAAAATGACAATAAATGTTGAACCTTTTCACTACCCTTTGTATCAAGCAGACTGGTGAAGAAGGAAAGCAGACTGGTGAACAAGGAAAAAACCAAATGTGGATGTTTCTAAACATCTAAAGCTATTCAAGGTTGCTATCAAAATTAAGTGCTTTATGATACTTTTTGATCTTTTGTGCTAGTACAGAGAATAACAGAATCATAGTCAAATTTCATGCATTTTTAGAAGTTGTTTTGGGGAATCCCCGAAAAAAAGGAAATTGCTGTAGATTTTTCAAGGGAATGGGCACAATAAATTAGTCTTCTGCCTTTATCAGAAATGCAACTAAATGTGATTTTACACAGCTGCTAAATGTTCCAGGCAGTCTGCTCCATTTCCAGTTCTACCTACGGTAATTTACGTATTATCAAATATTAACATTCTATAGGAAATAAAATTCCTGAGTCAGGACACCCCAGGTTCGAATATGACACATACTGCTGATCTAAGAGCACCAGGATTTTCTAATATTAAAAAATGATAAATATGCTAAGGCCTTCCATGATGGGCCCAGCACTCTTGGGAGTGGTGGGGGGGAGAGAGAGAAGGCCTGCATGCTACTGGATCTAGTTGAGTTCTTCCAGATGTGATGGGACAGGGAGAAGACCAAGCCTTTCAAGAGTGGGAGAGGGGAGAGGGAGGAGACCCCTCTGTGGCTTGGTCTAGCCCAGGGGTAGGCAACCTTGGCTCTTTTATGACTCTTGGACTTCAACTCCCAGAATTCCTGAGTCATAAAAGAGCCAAGGTTGCCTACCCCTGGTCTAGCCAGCTGCTGGGCCTGGACAGGTTGCTGTGTGCTGACTAGCAACCGAACCTCCCTAGGTGATCAGTTAACAAATGCAATCAGGAGAGCGGGCATTGTGGTCAGTGAGTGAGGCAGCCACACGAGTGTCTTGCTTAATACCACAGTGATTTACTACCAAAATTCTGTCCTCTTCTGGATTTCTGGATTAATAAATTTTTAAAATTATGGCATGATTTTGTAAAAGTTACTACAAACATCTTACTTGTGGTCTAACAAAGTTTCAAATATCAAAAGCCCTTGAGAGTCTAGAAAATAATTTGTCTAACAATTTAGAAGCTTCCTTCCCCACCCCCCAGCCCCGCTGGTTTTTTTTTTCAGGGTAAATATGCAATCACCAAATATATTAAATATTTCTAGCCTATTCACTACTAGCTATATGGGCCATTGATTCAAACACTGGGAAGGAAGAAAAAAACTGCACAAGTATAAATGATGCTTGAATGTTCGAGTGATGTTACAAAGATAGAAAGTTAGCAACATTTCAGTGTTATCCTAGCCAATTTCTAAAATCACATTTTAAAATCTCAACATAACACAAAGTTCTTTTAAATCCTTGAATTAATTTTAGAATGTCTTGTTCTATCTGGCAGCATTTCTTTTCATGAAGATAGCCTTTACTGAGTCATCTAAGCTGTGTAGCTTTTATTTCATTAGAAGTATTTTTACCCTACTTTAAAAAAAAAACACCTTTCCTAGCTTTACAGTACTATGCAATGACACAGCATATACAATACAAATTAAGATAATAAGTTGAAAACAGAAAATGAAAACTAGTAAAATTAATGATCAAACATTAATTCTGAACATCAAAGCATTTCTGTTTTGCATTAAAAGGCCAGAAATTAGGGCCAACAGTGTAATACAATTTAACAACATGCAGACATTCCTTTGCTGACCAGAAAACACAGGAAGGGTGATATGGGCACAAATTATTTTCCAGATAACCTAACTCCCAATCAAATACTTTGAATGAACTCAGAAATGCATTAAGTACAGAATTAATGTAGTACATTTCTTTTCTCTGGCCTTCATATCCATCTCAGAATGCTTAAGCTGGATCTAACAAGAATAATTTTATGCACAAAATATGACACAGATTTGCCCATTGGGCTTGAAACAGTTCTACTGCATTCAATAAGTCCCTTCCTGCTAGAAGAATTGGAAAGGAATAGCTAAAGCAACTTATTATTTTTCAGCAGCAGACTGAGAATTGATTTTTACTTGCGCTGGTTCTGCTGCCTTTGCTCAAATCACTAATCCAATTATTTCATCTCAGGCACAAAAAGCCTCTTCTCAGTTGCCATTCATTGCACCTCTGACATTCAGAATGGCCTCTGATAATCTCACTACAACAATCAGGCTTATATCAATGTTATTCATCTTTAAGTATCCACCCTTAAACTGTAGAAGGGCTTTAAAGGTCAGTACTGTCGATTTAATTGGACCTAGAAGGCTATGAACCAACTGTCAAAGCAGCAGCTTATAGGATTTTGAATTAACATCTTTAGAAAAAGTCCCCATATCCTTCAGTAGCATGACAAGTCACTTATCTGATCCTAGATAGGTAATAAATATACTATGTGGAAAAACTAGTAACAAGAACACTGTCCTAAGGAAATTAAACTGTTTTAACAAACATGTAGCAACGCCCAGAACGAGTTGGTCATAAGTTTCTAGACAGATCAATTATTTGTCAACACCACACTTTCATGGTTAGACTGACTTTTATATTGTTCCTCAGTCCGTCAACTATTTAATCTTGGGAATGATTCTCTTCATTAGCTGAAAATGAAAACTAAACTTTTATGGCATCATACTGATGATATTTTATTATAAATGTCACCAATGCCTACAATTTAAGTAAACAAATGGAATCTCTCAGCACATACACCATATGAAGGTGTATGCACCGAGAGGTGGCATGCAGCAGCTACAGACAAAAAATTAGCTAAATTGGCCAATCTGAGAACTTTTTTACAGGGGTGTTTTAACAAATTTTTAGGGGGATCCAGGGTGGGTGGGAGGGGGGGGGAGGTTCCCCTTAGGTCAGGACCAGCCATGTCTGGGGGTTGCG